CCCTCCTTTTCACCACTCCACACCGACTGCTACTGTCAAGAGTTTCCTTCTAAAGGGATTGAAAACATCTAGTTCTATTAGCTTTACTGATGGTCTTGTTTGTTTATGTAGGTCATATAGAGGCATCAGTATTAAATTTAGGGCTTTTTCATAAGCAGTTAAAAACTCCTTGTGGTATTTTTACAGTGGCTATAATCAATATTTTTTACAATGGAACTCATCACTACTTAAATGTAATAGGTGTCACTTGTTATGACGAACCCACAACGAATTATCACTCAATTCTGCAGTTCCTGTCAGCTCTAAGGAGCGTTTAAGTGTTTTTCAGCTCATTGTTTTGATTTCCCAGCCACAAATTAACCGTTTTGCTTCACTCTTACTGATGATTGCATTGTTGTTTTTGACCTCAGCAGGCAAATGTTTTCAGGGAAAAAGCTTTAATAAGCCCACTCTAACCCCACAAACACCAGACAGACAAAGTTAGCAACTAGCATAGGGGAGCATTTAGCAGCTACTTAGCTAAATATTTATCTGAGGATTAGTGGAGACCAAAAGCAGAGCTAAAAGAAATGTCATTGTTGTGTTTGCAGCCTGTTTCCACTTCCCCCCAAATGACCAAAAACTCAGTTAATGCATGTTTAAAAAAGCTCATCTAAGGTATTATAAGAACCACGTTTGTTGTTGTTTGTTTCAGGTGCATCAGTATTATAACTCCTTACCAGAAGAGAAGGTCCCCTATATAAACAGCCCTGGAGAGAAATATCGCATCAAACAACTGCTTCACCAGTTACCACCACATGACAATGAGGTAAAAGAGCACAGCACATTACTCATTCATGCATCAACAGTTTATCTGTGTTGTTATGGCTTCCAGTCGTTTTTATGATGATGCCTAATGATGAACCGTGTTGTGCAGGTGCGTTATTGTAATGCGTTGGATGACGAGGAGAAACGAGAGCTTAAGCTCTTCAGCAATCAACGGAAGAAGGACAACTTAGGCAGAGGCAATGTCCGTCCTTTCCCCCTCACCATCAATGGGGCCATTTGTGACAAGGTAAAATCAACAACTAGCCTTCCTTCCTTTTGCCATCTTGTCCATAATTTCACTCACTGAAAATATCAATGGCCAACCAAACAACGTTTAAAGCTTCTCTCTGTCTAAATAAATTTCATTTTCTATTCTATCTGCGTCATCCAGTCTATGTTTTTCATTATATTCTCAGTTTTGCTTGCCTGGTATTCTTTTTGATGTTTCATCAGATAGATGAAACAGATATAAAGTTGAAAACATTTCAATCTTGAAAAGATAATAGTTATTTCAAGTACCATCTTCTCACTCTCCCTCTCCACCTTTTACACTTTATAATGTTTTTCTCTGCCTCTTCTCCCACCCCTACTTTATTCCCTTACTTTCCTTTCCTTTTCTTTCCTTTCCCATCTTCTTCTCTCATCTCATCTCCTTTCCTCTCCTTTTCTTTCCATTATTTTCCTTTCCTTTCCTTTCCTCTCCTCTGTCTCCTTTCCTACAGTGCGGAGGTCAAATAAACGGTGGGGACATCGTGGTTTTTGCTGCGAGGGCGGGTCATGGAAAATGCTGGCACCCTCATTGCTTTGTCTGCAGCATGTGTGAGGAATTGTTGGTGGATCTCATCTACTTCTACCAGGATGGCAAGATCTACTGTGGCCGGCACCATGCCGAGAGGCTGAAACCCCGCTGCTGTGCCTGTGATGAGGTACGCCTGTCTGGTCCTGGAGCCCTTCAGGGTTGGAAATGGCTGAATGGTTCATAGCTCTGAGACTTGGATGTGGTTAAAACTGGTCTGGAGAGAAAAGATGTCTCAGTATTATTGCCATGTCTCAGAAAGTCTGCTTGTTTTCTAACCGTTATGTGTGGCAAGCAGGCCTGAGATAACAATGATAATAACTCTGGCCACAGTGTGATGGACTAATTGAAGTCTGGGAAGGTTTGTTTACTGGAAGTCTGGTAAATTGGTAAAAAGGCCAGGTGTCTTCAGGCAGGGCAGTTCTGTTAATACTTAATTTAAAAGTAAATTAATTTTACTTAATTTTTAGGATTTTTCTCTAATTTCTAAGATTATACAAATAAAACTGGAAAAATCCCTTGTCAATGGAATCTATGACAACTCAGGACGGGTTGCAGGAAGACATTGCTTCATTTTAAGGGGTCATAAGGGAAAAAAGGTTAAGAACCACTGTCCTAGGGGTAATATTAAGATTATGAAAATAATAACAGGCCAAGGATAGAGCCACGAGGTAACCCAAGCATCTTCCCAAGATGATCTTGCTTCGGTCATCATACATTAATATATTAATCATTTTTGCAAATAGGCATGAAACTAGTTTAAAACCAGTTAAAAATTCATCACTCATTTTATATTAACTTATGACCTCGAATCAACTTCATCTCTGTGTAGAATATCATTGCTGATAAATGTAATGTCTGGGTCATGCAGATAATCTTTGCCGATGAATGCACTGAGGCAGAGGGCAGGCATTGGCACATGAAGCACTTCTGTTGCTATGAGTGCGAGACCACGCTCGGCGGCCAGCGCTACATCATGAAGGATGGACGGCCACACTGCTGCAACTGCTTCGAGTCCCTTTATGCAGAGTACTGTGACGCATGTGGAGAACACATAGGTACATCATGTTTCCTCCTGTGCTTTTTATTGTTGTTTTAAGTCCTCTAATATATATGAACTGTTACCAAAACACATGTTTTTCTTACTCTAACATCATAGAAAAACCTCTAACAGCTATTTATATTAAGTGTGGGTGTTATCATCTCTGTGAGCCTTGTGTGCCACAGCTGTGGAGAGGCGGAGTCAGTGCAGTGAGATGTGGATGGTTATTATCATCCCAAGCTCCAGTAACAGTGAAAGAGTGTGTTTCAGAGGATGCTCCCATGTTGTATCCAGATGGGAGCTGTGAAAGATGATTACTTCCTCTAGCTGGGGAGCGGGGTTGGTGAAATGTATTCATGCTACGTTACAGATCGAGTGATCATGTATGGGCACAGAATCACAAATGTTTTCCTTTAGGAGAAAAAAAAATAAGCTCTGTGTCTATTTTTTTTACATTTCAGCACTAAGAGGCATATTTGCCAAAAATCAGCTTAATCTACTTGGCTAATGGATAAAATCAGAATGTGGGCTGTGTTCATTAGCTGCACAGACTTTGTAGAATAACATTTTTACAGTCGTATTAGAGATAACGGTCATTACATTACCATTTTTAAGAAGTTAAAGCCAGACTCCTTGTGTATTAATAATAAACATTTTTCTGGTGTGTCATAAAAGTTTGTTTTTCCCATCTTAAACAAAGGCATTGACCAAGGCCAGATGACATATGATGGGCAGCACTGGCACGCAACAGAGGAATGTTTTTGCTGTGCTCGTTGCAAGCGCTCTCTGCTGGGCCGCCCCTTCCTGCCAAAGCAGGGGCAGATCTTCTGTTCACGGTCCTGCAGTGCTGGACAGGTGAATAACCAATAATATGATAATATGGTTGAACTGTTGTATCTTTTAAGGGGCATTCATACATACATTAAACATTATGTTTATACATTTTTAATAATTGTACTGTTTTACTGTTTTATTTGAACCAATCAGGATCCAGATGAGTCTGACTCCTCAGACTCTGCTTTCCAAAGCGCCCGCTCCCGTGAGTCCCGCCACAGCACCAAGATAGGGAAAAAGGAGCGCAGGAATGCTGAGCAAGAGCGACGGAGTGCTGAGGCCCGTCAGTCAGCTCCTCCACCCATGCCTGACCGTCTGTCTGCAGAAAGTGATCCGCTTTCTGTACAGATGGACCGTTTAAGCCTCTCATCAAGCCAGACCCCGAGCAGGACACCTAACCGCACACCCAGCCGAACTCCGAGCCGTGCCCCGAGCCTTAACCAGGTGTGGATGAGCCGGGATGACCCCTACGTCCCTGCTGTTTACGAGGGCCCTCAGCGGGAACCCTCCCCCAGTCCAACACCTATACACCTGCTGGGTCAGTGTAACCTCAGGCAGGGTTACAATCCAAACGCAAATGCTCATCCTCCAGCTCAGACTCCTGCCAACCCAGGGAAGAGGCCTGATTCCTGGGGTAAGGAACAAGGAAACACCAAGAGGACCCCTATGGCTGCTCTGAGGGGTCACTCCTTTAATGAAAACTGGACCCACCACAACCAGGAGGAGTTCAGGCCCAACAAGCTACGCACCCAGATGAGCTTCAATGAGATGTCTAGCCAGAACCAGGGGTTCTCTGACAAGAGGAGCATCAGCCTGCATGGATTCCAGAGGGACGGCAGACCCCCACTAACCAGGAGGAACCCCATCAATGCAATGAGCTTCAATGAGCCCCTCACTCCTCTAGAACAGACTCCTCGTGGATCCATGGATTCTCTGACTATGTCCAATGCTACAGGTGCGGTGATGTAAATGATACAGCATGATATAATATGATATAATGCCAAATGATATGAAAATGTGACATGTGATTTCTGTTTTTTAACAGGTAACTCTCTGGACGGGGTCAGTAAGCGGCAGGAGCATTTGTCTAGGTTTTCCATGCCCGACCTGAGTAAAGACTCAGGTGTAAATGTGTCTGAGAAGAGCAACATGGGCACCCTCAGTTCCTCAGTCCAGTTCCATAGCACAGAGTCGCTGTCCTCCTCTCGCCCCTACAACAATAACATGTACGCTCCACTCAGAGTCGGCTACCCGCTGCAGTACTGGGATGGCCCGCAGCCGCTGGGCTTTGACGGCAAAGGTCGTGTTGGGGTGATGGGCAGCAGTGGAAACCTGCGGATGCCTCCCATGAGCGACAGAATGCCACGCCGACGCATCAGCGGGCAGGAACCTGTGTCGCAGCAACAGCAGCCACAACCAAGACGCCGCAAACACCACCGTGGAAACCACGGTAATGGGCAACACCGCAGTGGCCGCCACCACAAACGCTCTCGCCGCTCCCGCTCTGATAATGCCCTGCACCTGGTGGCGGACCGGCCCACTCAAATGGTAGAGCTGCCTTACCGTCGTGTTCAGGAGGATTATGATCGCTTCCCCCCTGGTAATGCTGCTCGGGAGTTGTTTGGTCTGGAACCAGGTGGGTACAGACAGCAGCCCCACCGGCCCTGCCCCCGCACCACATCCGATCTCACCCTGCAGAATGCTGGCTGGCAACCTGTGGGGCTGGGTGGGCCATGCTGGGGCGATGGGTACACGGAGGCTGCTGACCCCTGGTGCTCCAGCTGCTCCTCTTCCTCCGAGTCTGAGGGAGATGAGGGTTACTTCCTGGGTGAACCAATCCCTCGGCCTGTGCAGCTTTGCTACATCAACAACGAGGAGCTGCGCCATCGCTACAGCCCCTCTGGGATACCTGGCCATCACGTACCTCTGCATGGACCGATTCATGGCCAGTTGCACAACCGTCAGAGGAGGAAGAGCAAAAACTGCATAATTTCCTAGATTTAGAGCAAAGAGATGGTGAGGATGAACAGGAGAGTCAAAGAGATAAGAGAGAGAGGTAAGGAGATGGTTAAAGCAACAGAGAGGTGGAACAGAGGGAGTGGGAAGGTGAGAGTGAGACAGTTGACAGTGAGAGTGAATAGAGAGAGAGTGTGTGTGTGTGTGTGTGTGTGTGAGAGAGACTGTGTGTTGGGGTTGAAGAGCGAAACGGCCTATTTTTTGTGCTTGTGAGCTTACACAACTCTACACCGGGTAGTGTTTGTGTACACCTACACAGAATGATCTAATCATAAGAGGAAGCTCAGCTGGCTTACACAACAGAAATGTTTACAATGATAGAGATCAACTCCTATGATGGTACCAGGAAGCACGGATGAATTTGACTACTAAATATACTGTGGTCAAGGTAAATAACATGATGTATGTGTGTGTCTGTGCGTGTATCCATGTTACGGAGAGATCGAACAATTCCTTTACAGTTTGGAAAGGGAAGAAAAACTGGTCAAACTGCAGTGATTTGACTGTTGATGTCGCAGCTCAGTGATCCAAGCCCTGGGCAGTAAAACTTATTCTATGTGGACAAACCCGAAATTGTGTTGGGATAGTGAAAGTTACGTGCTAGATTCCAAGCTATGTCATTGTTTACCTCAGTGGAATCCAAATGCTGCTGGAATATAGTGTTGGCTCGCTAGCCCTGTTATCACCTTGTACAAATAGTCTGTTGAACTTTGTGCTCTACATAGCCAGCTCTCCATGCTTTAACAAGGACAGAGAGCCAGACAGCCTCTGCTCCTTGACCATTCAGGCACAGTAACGTCAGGTATGGTCCCGTTTTATCTTCTGCAACATGCTTTGTTTTTTGAGAGTTACCTATAGATGATTAACAATAATACTACTAATAATAATGCCAACAATACTAATAATAATAATGCAAATAATAATTATGATAATATTAAAGAACAATACCTGTTAAATGTATATATAGTAATAAACATAATAAAGTAATAGATGTAGTAATGTAAATGTTATGTACATATGGTCTTAAATATTTATATATTTTGTAACTAAAGAATCATTATTTGTATAACATGATGTAGAGATAGGGAGACTTGCATGTTGATTTGTTGTTGTTGTCTCATACTGAAAATAAAGTGTACTTCAATGAACAACCAGCAAGTTGTATCTATAAGTTGTACTGAGTTCTGTAGTTGGTTGTAACTAACATGTGATTGGTCCGCTTGAGTGAGACATTAGCGGTGCCCCAGATTCATACTTTTCATACTAAGCAAGTTTTGAGAATGTAGTGTGATCACATTGGAAAAGCTAAACAAGTCACCATAACTTTGTACACTTTAGACTTTTTGACTTGTGATAACAGGAAAAGCACAAGTGAAACAAATTTAATTAACAATGGCTCAGTTCCATAAAGTTTTTCCAGTAAGTCAGCATGCACAATACCCGGACCCTGGAACTGGGTCACCTAAAAGGAATGCAGTCGTTTTTAATTTTATCAATAACACCAGTGCTTTTCCTGCAATTACAGGCCAAAATGCACCAGGGAAATGGAGGAGCTGCTCATAAGTTCAAAAACACTAACCACAAAGTACAGCTGAGGCTGATGGGAAAGTCATTAGTTTTTCAAGCATTCGGTCATAAACCAATTGGACAAATTAAAAGTTAGAAGAACAGTAATGGGATAGCCAAAGTTATTAGGATACATCCTCTAGGAACCATGAGTATCTGTACCAATTTCCAATTGCAATCCATCAGTAGTGGTTGAGATATTTCAGTCTGAACCAAAGGGGTGGAACGAGAGGCTGTCAGACCAACATTATCATCCCTAGAGCCATGCCACTAGTATGGATAAGAATATGTATTAAATCTTTGAAAAACATTTTGTATTCTCTTTTGTGAAGTTTAATTGTCGGTGGCTTTCCAAGTCACAGTTTGACTGACATCTGTTGGAGCACATTTTGTATAATTTCCTGGTGAAGAATGTTGATTTTTTCTTTTCTTTTTTTCCGTAAAAACAACAATATACTTACAGTTTATAGCACATACTGTATACAACTAGCATATAGCATGGAATTGGGACACCGGTGATCAAACTAGAGTCTGACAGATACTGGATTTTTTACTGACAACCTACAATTCCCATAATGCTGCTGAATAGCATTATTCATTATTTTTCATCATCCATGCCTTGAGTTTGAGTAGGACTCCTCATAATGAGTAAACTTCATGTATAAAATCAGTGGAGTGCCCCTTTAAGAGCTGTGACCAACACTTATATTACTAATATTATGATAAGCCAATATCTACCATGCTTCTGTATCAGTCAGGCTTTAGCTCAAACATCGAAATTAATCTGCAGCATTTCCTCTTTGTACTCAGAACAATGTGTGACCTACTCACCTACTGACCCATTAATGTATTTCCTGCTATGATTTCATTTATCTTGCCCGGGAATAAGTCACTGAAAATATTTTAACCACATGATGTTTAATATGCTGTATACAAAATTAAATTATTGGAAAGCAAGTGATCATAAATTAAGCACGTCAGTCGGATGTCAAAATACATTTTCGACCTCTTCACAACGTCACATACAACCAGTGTATTTTGGCATCATCATCATCATCATCACATTCTCAAAATCAGAAGCAATATGAAATTTCCAGTTTCCAGTTTTCTTTCATTTTTCCACCAGCGAGGAGGGGGAACTTTGTCCAGGCAGCAGGCAAGAAAGTATTAATAAGAGCTTATTACTTCTACTAGCAAATACAAAAAACAAACACAAAAGCAGTGTTTAATCACCTGAAATAAAATTCTCCTACACCCTTACCAGTGGGATCAGTGTTAGGAAGACAGGCTTGATGAGTGTGTGTGATTAGTGAGACAGCTCCCTGGAGTCATAGTCCTCTATAAATTTCTCCATGGCCTCCACGCAGCGCTTGCCGATGTCCTTGAGGTTCTCCTGCAGCGAGGCCTGGATGGGACGCTCCAGGGACTGATCCTTTTCTATCAGCATCTTTGCCACAAGGCCAAACATTTCACATTCCTGATAGTACACCTGTAAGACACACACATCCATGGTTTTAGGACAAATGCTCCGAAAGTGAAGAGCGAGGCAGAGCAGGAAAACAGACAAACAGGGAAGGAAATGAGAGAGGACAACAAATGAGCTGAGTGGTCTCGTCATGCATTTCCAATTACCCCTGAATGGATTAACAATCCGTGGAAGCGCTCGCATGCGAACAGTATTGTGTGTGCGTGTATACAGAGTTTTGTGGACATTTTTGCATCAGCTACCTGTTTCCAGCTTTCTTGCAATGACACTAAAACCCTGCAACCATGGAGATATGAAAAGCAAGAGGCCATCTTTTCCGTCAAGTGGGTGGACACATACACTCTTTCACACAAACATCGAGTCGATGAGCAGCCTCGTGATGTCTGTCATATTGAAGACGGCATTAAAGCACGTGTTGGAGCCTCCTGTGATACAGGTGAGCCACAGTAAACAGCCTCACTTTGCGTTTTTGATCACTTGATTCACTGAAACTAAAAGAATAACACCATCGATCACATCAAACAATGAATAAGACCTTCTTTGTCAGGCTCTGCAACATGAAGAAAATGACACTCATGTTGCCTGAGGCTCAGCATTTCAAAATTAATGTTTATACTACAGAAATCAAATCTTTTTTTCTTGTCTCATGTCTCCCAGCGCTTTCCAAGATCTTTCCTCTGTCACTCTTTCTCTAATCCCAGCTTCTTTTATCTCTCCTCTTCCTCTGTTTATGACTAACCCTTCTCCCAAGGTGTGAGTGTGTTTGTGTAATGACACTCCTCTACCTCATCTATCTCCCTCCTCTTCTGCTGGATGGCTCTGTCTCGTGCCACCGTCTGGCTCGCAGCTGAAGGGAGCTCCCTGTCTCTGCTTCGTTCTTTGCTTTTGGTCCCCCTGTGATCTCTCTCCCTGCTTTGATTCCGGTCGTTCTGACAAACCTGCAAAAAGAAAATGAGACAAAAGTTGGACTGAGAGTTGGCCAAAAACATGAATTTCAAACACTGATAATGACTGAGCCGCTAATGACCAAAAGATGACTAAAGTGAAGTTCCACGTGTCAACTTGTAACACTAAGGCAAGTGAATTATAAATGCAGAATTTGTTCTGACTGCATATGTATTTAATGGCAAAACAGGTATATAAAGAAGATGGAAAAGGGTTGTTAGGTAACAAAAGTAAAATTGGTATAACTTCCTAATAAGTAATACATTAAATATGATTTTTGAATGGTTTATAAATTATTTGTTAATGATTTAGAGTTTAGGTAGCTCATCAGAATAAACAGAATAAATAAATCAGAATAAAAAGTTATTTTGCCATCAATGCAGCATTCATTAAAGCTGCTATAATCACTATTTTTATATAACAAAGGATCAAATGTGTACATGTAATGTGAGAGGGATCACTCATGGTAACAAATTCAGAGAATTATCACTCGACAGCAGTTCCTCTCAGCGCATTTAAGCATCTTTAGGCTCATTGTTTTGATTCTACAGCCCGCAATTTTACTGTTTCGGTTTGTTTTGTTGTGTTGTTTCCATATCCAACAGCAGCTTTCAGCATAAAAGCTCTGAAGCTCTAAAAACCCACACTACCTCCCCAGAACCAAAAAGGAGACAATTAGCAACTAGCTGGTGAACATCGAGGAGCATTTAGCAGCTTAAAGAGCCAGATATTTACCTCAGGAACTGGTGACACCAAAAACAGAGCTAAAAGGGCAGTGAATATTGGGGGTACATTCATCAGGTGGTCAGAAACACACCTCAAAATGAATTATAATGCTGTTGTATCTGTATCTGGATGTGTAAATAGGCAACTGTTTGTTCATTTTCACATTCTGGGCTACTGTAGAAACATGGCAGTTGAATATGGTGAATCCAAAGAAAAGGACCCGCTCCCTCTGTAGATAAAAACGGTTGTTTTCACAGACATTTCTGTAGTGCAGCATCAGGAAATATTAATTACTAACATGCTAAGATACTTTAGCTGTTGTCAGTGTTAGTCCTTGTATTAAAAGACCTGTTAATCACACAGAGTTTACCTTCAGGCATTATTAAAAAGCTTATGTTATCACCGGCTACAGTCCCATTTATTAACACTGATTGGAACAGTGAAAATCTTGAAATAATAAATTCTTTGATTCCTCCTCCTCTTCACTTTAAATTCACTGCAGCACTGACCACCAGTGATTCATCATGTGCTGCTCTGCTCCTTGTGTTTAGGTCAGCCAAGAAATTTATGCGACCATGTGATTTCAGAATTTCCTGCAGCACCTGGGCTGTTTGCATTATAGATAAGACGGTCTCTGCTATGAGCTCATATTTAATGAACAAAAACACCACGTGTATGAAACGTACAAATAAATCAATCAATAGACGAATGGATGAAAATAATCCGTAGTTGCAGACCTTCTTGCTACCCTGTTTTCTCAAGTTGTATATATGACATGAAATTTCCTTCCAATCACTTTCATCTTCAAATGTATTTATAAGCCATAATTCCAAAATTCCATATAAATCACATTACAATAACAACATTCAGTTCAAAAAATACATTTATATTTTGATAGTATATTAGGTCATTTTTAAGGAATTGGTGGGCCGCTATATTTTTTCACATTTCATAAGAAAATTGTAAACCAGAAGGAGAGAAGCAGAGCAGGTTTTCTGTTTGTGAACTTACAATGAACTGCACGTCCTTGTCTCTGCTGGAGGTGGACCTTGGTAAGAAAGCCCTAGTAGCTGGAAAACAGACAAACCACACGGTCAACACAACAACACAAAAAGAGAATTTATGTCTACCTGAAACACAATTATATATATTAGAGGGACTTCGTTCTTTGTTTACCAAATCTATAGGTACCTACAGTTATTTATGAGTGTATCTTTAGGTCACCACTCATGTTTAAAGCTTCCTAATCATTCTCTCTGTCTAGGCAAATTAAGTATCAAAAATCAATATATCTTTAAGCAGAATCTGCTGATATTTGGGAATTGTGCCTTGTTATGTTGTACTGCAGTATGTGAAGCAATACTTGTTATGGCTCATTATATACTGCTGGCTAGTCTCTCTCACTCTCTCTCACTCTCACTCTCATATACACACAAATCAGCGATGAGTCACCATCATCGCACCATCACTCAGGCACACAAAAAACCTGTTCCACACTCACACATACACAAACACACACCTCCACAGTGCTGCAGTGTGCGCACACATACAGTGCCTGAGTGCAAGAGAAGATAAAAACATACAGTACCAACAGCTCAGTCGTTAAAAACAACATAGCTACCACTTTATTCCTGGAAAGGATCAACAAAAACATGGGACTTCGGTTAGTGTTAAAACCAAGGAAACACAATCGTAACAAATTTTTAAACCCCTCCTGTTTACTTCCAGACTCTTCCCACTGACAAAAGATGAGGTAATTCTCAAGCATCTAAGAGATCTACCTGCAACTAAACACACAGTTGAGACATACTGAGACATATAATGTATAATGGCTGGACTACTATCAATTCATCGGTAAGAGCATTGACATATCACATCCACGTGTGTTGAGTCCAGGAAGAGCTTCTTAGTGATTAGTATTATGTAACACTGGTTTGTTGCTACCAGAGTGTGACTACCTATCCACCACCAGATACCACGATGAGCAAATGCCCTCCAAATATTTTTTAATGAAAAGTGTTCATGAAAATGTGCACGTGTCACTGCTTGCTTATACTGCCACCCAATGGTCATTGAATAAAGTGCATGAAGATACTGTATAGATTGTAAAGTATATTATTTAAATTAACAGTATATGTATGTGTAAATTAAATACAATACATTATAATGTTTGATTTTTGTTTGGACTGTGTAAGGGGGTTATTTGTTTATGTTGTTTGTGGTGTTCTATTAAACTGTACTGTACTGTGTATGTGCTTCTAGGTTGACCAGGTGTCCCACTTTATGTTGAACTGGACAGCATTTTTATCCCTTGTCCCCCGTCCCACATACTGAGACCATGTCCTACATTTTGACTGACTTTAGTTTTTAAAACTCAAATCACTGTAGGAAAGACACTTTTTCTAAAATCTGTTTTTAGTTGCTGGCATCACAAGCTATGCAGAATTAGGCGGAATGTGATGGAAAGTACCAAAGAAAAAGGAAATGCTACTTCTAACTGGGTGAAGGCGACTATTGCATATGACCGGTGAAACTTCAGCTTCCTTTCATGCTTACTGTATTTATGCATAGCGTATCAATGCAATGCCTATTGTGTGCTACATAATCAACCAGAGGGCAAAGACAGAAATGTTTATTTTTTAGGTTAGATAGACATATCAAAACTTTAGACTACCATGTGTCTCACTTTGACTGTCCCACACAAACATACTCTTTGTCCCACATTTGGTTTGTTAGGATCTGGTCACTCTATGTGCTTCTGTGACTGCGTCTAACATGTACATGTGTGTGAGAGAGGCTGAGTCTGTTTTCCTGTTTATTCATTTATACATATACTGTGTTTTGCATGGTGAAACTTAAAATAAACTTAATAAAGCTTAATAAAAACCCAAAGAGTAAAAAAAAAGTGTAACAAGGGGGTCATGTGTCAGATTATTTCTTATATATACTTCCTGTTGTCTCTGGTGGTGGTCTGGTAATATGTTACTCCCATAATAGCTTTCACAAGATTTTTTATGCATGCACAAGTCTGACATGGTCTTACTACTACTACTACTACTACTACTACTACTACTACTACTACTACTACTACTTGTCCAGTCTGCATAACATAAAGCAACTCTTACCTATCATAATTACTACTACATTTCCAATCAATGTGTGGATGTTACTGCTGGTATCTATTTTGACTGGAAATATGTTTTGCTTTTTATAGTCATGAACCAAAGGGAGAATATATATGAATGAATGAAAGATGAAAGATATTTTCATCTTGCAGTTTTTTTTTCTAGCAACAGACATTTTTCACAGCAGACATTTTGACATGTCACAGTGAGAAAAGCACAAGCTGGTGCTATGGTGTTGTGACACCAGCACTTTCAAAGAAACATGGTTCCCCACTTTTTCCTTAGATAGTCACTGATGAAATGAAACTAAAATAAAAAACAGTACTTCAGAGAGACTTGCCCATACATGAAAACCAATAGGTCAAGTTGATCAAGACTGATTCAGCGGGCATCCAGCCAATCACAGCCATTTGGCCTAAGCACCAGGTCAGGAAGAGTAGACAAAGTATTCAGAAATGGGGCTGAAATAGGCTGTCCTAGTTCTTGTGCTCCTTCAATCATCCCAAACTAAAGCCAGCTGGCCAAAAAACTTAATTCAAGCTAATGGTAGCTGACATTATTTAGCTACAGCAAAGAAGTCTACCCACATTTCAACTGAGGCCTTAGTTACAGTTTATTTTATATAATCTTATAACCAATTCTTAGAAATTGTTTTCATTTCAGCAGGCGAACAGTTTTAGGTTCCTGTCATGTTATCTCACATCTCCACACTGGTTAAGAAAGCACAGAAACAACTGTATTTCTTAAGGAAACAGGACAGGAGGACTCTCCACCCCTGAATAAAGGTTTTACAAATAACATTAACGATGGAATTCAGCCATCAATTATTTCATTATTTACACCTGTGCTTTACCTACTGTGACATGTCAAAACCCTGCAGTGAAATAGCCTGTATATGTGGCACTGTTAGCCCCACGCTTCATGCAGCCCACATCATCTTTGTTTTACAGCTTTAAAGTGGCTTATTTAGTATTACAAATTCTTAGGAATGTATCTAATTGCATGCCCTTGTGCATAAGAAATTATGTTTAAATCCTGGCCTCTAATATCCCTGTTGTCTTTAATACTGTAAAATTTTCCACGGATCTCTTCATAAATACATGAAGTGGTGTGTTTTCACAGACTGTTGCTGCAGACATACAGTAAACGTACGGTTTTGTTTTGGGGGTGAACTCCCATTAGTGCTCTCCCTCTGCTCATACCGCTCCTTCTCCTTCTCTCGGTCCCTCTCCCTCAGTGCGATGTGGTGAAGTTTAGGCTGGAAATGATCTCGCCGGGGGAAGTAACCCCGGGGCTGGAAGTGGTGGTACCTCTGTTTGCTAAAGCCAGGTTTGTAGAATGAGTGGTCATCCCTTGGAAAACCGCACCATGTGAGAGAAAAAAAGCTTTCAGAGCAGCCAGAATCGCCCTCAACCCCATTATCAATATTTTGCAGGCAACTCAGTAAAAAATTGTTGCTATCATGCGGAAGAAAGAACAGATTGTAAGAAAAACCGAATACAGTGGTCCTCATTCCAAAGCTTTTAATCTTACCGAGGTTTGTAGAATCGCCCTCCGAACTTGGGTTTGTAGGAACTGGATGACCATGACCTCGGCCTGGATGGACTTCGCACTCTTCTAAACGCCCGCTTGTCATCCTTAAGTGGCATGGGTAAACCAATTTGTTGCACAGTGGTACTTGGCAAAGACAGCAGAACAATTGTATAGTAATTTTGAGACATGATATCTGAGAACAGGGAGTACCTGAGGGGTAGACGCAGTGCTTTCAGCGGGCCTCTTGTCGGCAGACTCCTCGCTGTGTTCCCTGTGCCGCAAAACGGAGCCCTGAAGAGAGAAAGCACCATTTTATTCAGAGTTATTATGGTGTTACAGTACAGGTAGTGTGGTTTAGTATTACAGCTGAAACAATTAGTTGATTAGAAAAATAATTGGTAATCATTTTTCTCATTTTCAAGGAAAAATTACCAACATTCCCACGTAACCAAATGTGAGAATTTGATTAATAGATATTTAAAAAAGAATATTGGATAGATTTATCAAGAATGAAAAAAATACTAGTTGCAGCAGGTTTCTTAGGAAAATGTTGATGTTTTTAGTGCTTGGAGGTATAAGATGATCACACTGTACATTGCCAGTGTTGGGGAAGCTACTTTGAAAGCACAGCTTTAGCTGCCAGTTGCTTCACACTTGAAGAAGCTGAACTACAGCAAAGCTACCCACAGGGGAAATCAAACTGCAGATGGACATGTGAAATTCTAACAAAATAAAATACAAAAAAGTCACATGCCAGAAAAAAATTCCAGTCAACTGAGTTTATAGCAAAAAGCGCCGACTTGCTCACAGATTGTACATAAACTGAAAAAATAAAATGCCCCATTATTCATGGTAAAGTGCAGGAATGTCAGCTTTGGTTTGTATACAACGTCAATCAGTGCCTTCCAGAAACTAAAGTCTAGATGGGACTATTGCACCAAGCAGGATTACTCAGTTGGACAGTTAACTCTGGATATTTGTTAATAAATAGCAATAAAAATACTACTTATACTATAATAATAACACTATAATGACTAATTATTGACACCTATGCCTTCACAGCAGTCAGGAAGAAAGGAAAAGGGTACGGGGGCTGGTGAAAAGTGGTCCAATATTGAAAGAGAAACTATGGTAAAAATTATAACATGTCTCTCTCTCTGTGTGTGGTGTGTGTGTGTGTGTGTGTGAGACAGGCTACTCAGTACTGCCCTCATGTGCTTAACATTAGACTTTTTCTTTTTAATTTAAATCTCCTGCAGTGTCACTTTACTATACTCTGTTATCATATCTATGTTGAGATAAGTACAGTTGTTGTTGGTGTCCCGTCCTGGAGCTTTTGTTAATGATTCCGCTGGTTTCAAATAAAATGGTATATCTGGTCAAAGGGGTGGGGGGGGGGGCAAGTCACGTGACTAGCAACAGTACATAATACACTTGAGACAACTGTCAGTATGATGGCAGCTCTTCACTCCCAGCACTTTTCTTTTTTACCTTGCTCTGAGGTGTGTCCTGTGGCGGTGTGTGGTCCATGTCTGTGTGTCTGTCTGCAGCGCTCTTTAAAGCTGTGTGAAGGACACGCAGACTTTTTTATTTTTTTCTCTCGAGCCCAACGGACCAGGAAGCGCGTGCGACCGCTCAAATTACAGTCCTCGGTACATCTGGAAAGTGAAATCTTTACATTTCTGTCTCCCCTCGCAGACTTTTAAGTTAAAAACGTTTTACCTTGCAGTCGAATATGTCACGATGTGGACGAACAAACGTGCGCCTACTCTGGTCTCCGCAGGAAAATAACGAAAGATACTTTTACTTCCTTTTTCTACAGCCACCCAATCAGATCAGCCTGCGGTCATATAAACGCGTATCAAAACCAAAACTTTCCGGAGAGCGCGCAGACGCAGTCCACCACACTGACACCTGTTTACACCTTTCATTTAAAGTCCGACCACTTGTTGTCCTGTGAGTGTGGTATGACCAACGATGGCGCACTTTAACGACCATAAAACGTGTTCATTGTAAAGTTTGACAAATGATCAGTGGCGCAATGTAACTAAATACATTTATTCTATAAGTACTGCACTTAAATACAAATTTGAGGTAGGCTTCTTGTATTTTAGTCTTTTCTCTCATGCCACGGCACTTTCTACTTCTACACTACATTTGACAACTTAAGTTACTTTGCAGATTAAGCTTGCACATAAGAGCTTGGGAAATAGATGTTTTGTTATAGTTTAAACTACCCAACAATGTAAAAGTATAGTTGAAACGATTAATCGATTATAAATGATCATTTAAGCTTATCAGTATCAGTTGGCATGTATCTCCAGATTTTGTGATTTGTGTTCCTTTATGGGTTGAGAAAATTCTCTAAATCCTCCAGCTAAATAAATTATTTTGAAATCCTTTTGGATAAAAAGGAAAATGCATTTGCACAAAGCTGAAAACTATTTTTCTGACTCCATGAAAATGTCACTTTTTAGACGTGTTTCTCACAGGACAGCAATGCTAAAAACATAATGATCTTATATTAATCCAAAATCATATATCATCATAGTAAAACAATGACAGGGACCATTTTACTGCATAATAAATACTTTTGATGCTTTAAGCAAATGTAGCTGTACAATAGCTGTACAATATCTATATATATAGCTGTATAATACATATGATACTGCAGGACTTTTACTTGTAGTGGAGTATATTTACAGTATGGTCATTTTTACTTAAGTAAAGGGTCTGAATACTTCTTCCAACACTACCTATGACTGTTACCCCAAATAGTATGATTTAGACATTGCTTGTTAAACTCTGTAGTCGTAGACCACACACTTTTCAGATAACAACAGAGAGGAGAGTGATTCCTGTTTCTACAGACTGTCAACCTTGTATTTTCTGCCATAATAGTCCCCTTTGAGTGAAATAAAACTGGTTATTGTATTACTCAGTTTCTTCAAGGACATCCTGAAGGTTCTATTATGCCCCAACCGTAATAAATTATACTACTGTTTTTTTAAAAGACTTACCCGCAGGGCTTTTTTATACAAATATGATTCAAATCTAAGCTATGAATAACACTGCAGAGAATGTCCTTATTGTAATAAATGATGTTCTCAAAAGTTCTTGTGTCCAGCTCACATGGACTGATAAGACAGCAAAATAGTGTTGCAGGGGTGACACATTTTTAAGACAGGACATTATTTTCATCCATATAAAATTACAATGCAACCAAAGAATTTTGTCTTCTGTCCCAGGCTTGACAAATTGCTCTTAAATGATCATATAATGAACCATAAAACAGGAAATTAACTTAATTCGCTTCTAAATAAGGATACCACAAACAAACATAAACAAAGCATATTCCCTTGTACAGCAGGAAAAGCTGCGCTTCATGAATATTACCCTACAGAATGTCCTTGCAAAATTGTCCCAGTTAAAGAATGTTCCTCATAAACTGCAATTCAGACATGTTTAAAAGTCTGTTCTCACAATTATGTCTGACATTGGTTCCCATTCTATGTCACCACTTATGCATACAATAATTTAATTTACAAGATTAAAGCAACACCACAGGAATTTGAAAAAAGCCTAAAGAACTGTAAAGTAAGGTCACAATAAACTCACTGACAAGACAGCTGGCCTTTAATCAAAGTGCTGTAAAGTGTTTCAACTATGAAACATGCTGCAATTTATGCTGTAGGTCATTTTAACATATCCTTTTATATGACAACAGACATTTCTGATGCAGCATGTTAATGCTTAATGATACAATATATTTACATGTGTTTCAAAGAAATAAGATAAATACGTGTTAAACCACACACAAATGTCCATTGTTGGTGAAGTTACCTCTCCAGTCTCACATTTTAGTTGCAGTAATGCTCACGTCTGACCTGAATACCACAACAAGTAAAGATATTTTGTTCTAGGAAAGACACTGTGAGTACAAAGAATAGGTGAAGCCGTGACATCCCAGAGCTTTAATGTTGCTCACTCCACCCACTGTCTCCACCCATTACACCTCCTCCTCCTTCCTAGAGAGAGAGAGAGACTGAGCGAGAGAGAGAGGTATGATTAAAACCAGACAACTTAAGAGCAGTGTAGTCCTTTACTCATTCTCTTCAGCATGTGGCAGACTTAAATCATTCAACAGAGACCTGTATGGAAAGGTAATCCTGAAACAAACATGTAATACTGAAGCTCTCTTTCCTTCTGCTGTTGCAATGTTTGGGGCTGAGAACTTGTTGGAGCAGGTTTTCTTTCTTGTCGGGTCAGTTTTACTAATTGTTCTGTGTGAATGTTAGGCTGTTCTTGTTACGTAAGAATTTGTACTATAATGTGGCTGTTGGAAGAAAGGTATAGTTAGACTGGTATGGATAATTGTCATAAACAAGTACAAACCTATTTATGAAAGCAACTTCTACATGTGTCATTTTCTCTCATTTGCACAGTTGTGTGGTGTATTTTCCTGGTGTCACATACCTCTGTTTAAAAATCCTTTTTAACAACTAGGGGGAGGGGTGGACAAGAGGTAGACACATTGTTATCAGCTTCTCAGTTTCAGTTTGCTTCATCATTTCTCCATTGATTTATAGATTTTAATTAATAAATGTTTACTTTATGAGAAAGGATTTTTTTTTTTTTGCATTTTCCCAGCATCAGCAGTGAAATCATCCTGCCATCATTCAACACCCTGAGTCCCAACTAAATTTATATTTAAAGTACAAGGCTGGCCGCAAGAAAAGACATGAGGTAAGAACAAACTTCCTTTTAGCATCCTGAGAATATGCTTTGAGTATCAGGCTGATAGTGGTCTATATTTTTGCAACTTTCAACAAATCCCATTAAAAGACCAAATTAGTTTCTCTCTCTGTATCCTGTCTGTGGCACTCAGCCCTACGCTCATGACTGAAGCTGTAAATCGTTGTTGAAAATTAATGTTTTGCCAGTTTATTATAACAAAAACTAATGTAGTCTAATACAACAACCTTAAGAGAGGTGTTGGTTCTCAGGACTCAGCTGACAATTTGGTGCATTACTGAGTAATTATGATGCAAGATGATGAATGTAGGATCAACTCAAAGTAAATACAGACCCCTGGGTCATTGTAATGGAGGAATCTGCCAGCCAGTGTAACAATATGGTTCTTTAATAAGCTATGTCAAGCTTTGGCTACACTTATCCTTATTGTGCATCTATGGTCTTAAAATGGTTAAATGTAAAACAGTCATGTTTTACAGGGTTCAAGCTGTCTCTAGAGCGCAAATTCTACAAGAGTTTAGTTTCCGATGCCAGGGACTTGCAGCCAATGACAACAGAGGCTTTAAACAGGAGTTTGAGGTATGATTTAAAGTTGAACTTTTGGAGTAGATTTCTGATTTCTGAAGCTATAAATGTTAGTCATGTGTACTAATGTCTGGTTCTGTAAAGGAGCTCAATGATGTTGGCAAAGACCTCCCGACCAGAGCGGGGGACTTGGAGGCCAACAGAGAAAAGAACAGATACCCCTACATATTGCCATGTAAGTGCAAAGCTCACCATACTAGAGCAGATTACAGCTCAGAAACTATATGTGGCAATGTATGACTTGTATTCATCTGCTTTCTATTTACTGACCACATCTGGTTATAGACGACCACTGTCGAGTGAGGCTGTCCATTCAAAACTCCCATCCACACACTGACTACATCAACGCAAATTTTGTGCCTGTAAGAACTCTTTATTTTGTCTGTCATTACTCTGTCTACTTGCTTTACCACCTGTCTGTCTGTCTCCACACCTGTCTGCATCTGTTAATGACTGTGTGTCTGTACTCAGGGGGGAGGATCAGAAAGAGACTTCATCTGCACCCAGGGTCCTTTGCACCACACCATGGCCGACTTCTGGAGGATGGTGTGGGAGCAAAACGTCAGGATAATCGTCATGGTGACAGCTCTGAGACATAAGGACATAGTGAGAAACATACATTGACTTTGTGTGTCTGTGCTGGTGTGTCTGTGTGCCTGTTGCATGCTCATCTCTATTGAGCTTTGTTTGTTCTAATGACATATTTGTCCCTATTTTAAAGGAACTGATGGACATTTGGGGGAAATACTCTTATTCACTTTCTTGGCAAGAAAGCCAAGTCTTTCCACTCTCATGTCTGTACGCTAAATAGAATGAGGCTATAGAGTGTTGCAGATGTCAGCATGTCAAACCCAGAGATTTATATTCTCACTAGTCCGCCTTTACAGCCTATTCTAAGTCAAACTTTCCACATACTGTACATAACATGAGGACATTCCTCACGTCTTTAAATATCTGACATTGTCCCTTATTTCTATGTGTGCAGGTGCTGTGTGACAAGTATTGGCCTCTGGAACGAGGGACAGTTTATCACGGACTGATCCAAGTGACGACAGTGACCCGTAAACAAGGTCCAGATTATTTTATCACCACCATTAACCTCAGACAGGTGAGCCAAAGACACATCGTTGGTACCTTTAAACTGCTGTTGACTTCTATGTGCACTGACCGCACCAGTAATCAATCAAAGAAGAAGAAGCCCTGGCTCGGATTAAAGGAAAGTCTTTGTGTTTCAGAGAGATTGCCCAACAGACAGGATAATCACACACTACTACTACCCTTCCTGGCCGGATCGGGGCGTCCCTAAAAAGTCATCCTCACTCTGTGCCTTCACTGAGCATGTGCGGCAGAATTTAGAAGCCATTCCTCGCCTGGGGCCGGCTGTGGTGCACTGCAGGTCTGACCTTCAGCCCATCACCCTCTTCTTCTGGAAACACATTACTTGCTTATGTTAAAAAATAAGTGCCCCTTTCAGTATAAATAGAGTTATCAGATGGCGAGTTTAAAGTCAATCCTCTGTTTTTGTGTTTCAGTGCAGGTATTGGGCGGTCAGGGACATTTGTGGCATTGTTGTGGCTGATGCAGCTGTGTGTGAGGGGCATCCGGCCTGATATCCGGGCTGCTGTGGAGGATCTGCGGTTACATCGAATGTGGATGGTCCAGAATCTGGTTAGTCTAGTACTGACACTCACCTGCAGTAGTGGCAGAACTATCAAAAATAGATTTGAT